TTTATTACATTGCACCAATATGTACAAAACTTTTTTTTTTTTTTTTTTTTGTTTTTTTTTTTTGCGAATTGTCTCGCTTTTAAGTTCCTAATCTTGCTGGCGCGATTTAAACGAAAATAAATTGCGATTATTCTAATATAGTGCACGTGGAAACAGGCGTTGTGCGCTTTCTAGTGAAATAATTATTCCTTTCGTATATATATAAGTATATTTGTGTTTTTCACACACACGTGATGCGGACGATTTTTGAAAGTTGTACGAGTGCGCGTATCGCATGTATATATGCGTGTATAAATGTCTTTGTGTATGTAAAACCAGGTAATTTGCGTACCCGAGAAACGACGACGATGTGCCCACCTTCTTTTGCGTCTGAGAGAGAGAGAGAGAGAGAGAGACAAACTTTTTTTCTTTTTGTTAAAAAAATTTTGTCACACCCCCGCCATAAAGCCGATCGATCAGCCCTGAGCGTCATCTTTGTGTAATAAAAAAACGAAAAAAAAAAAAAAAAACAATTTGTGCTGAATTATACAATTTAATAATTTAATAATATTTGGTTCTTTTTTTTTTTTTATCGTTATGTTTCAGAGAGTGTCATGCGCATTAAGATTACTGACTAAACTAAACAGAACACAAAATACACAAATGGTTTTACCGCAACGAGTGTGCGAAGTTGTGTTTTTTTTTTAAACTGAGAATCTGAAATCCTCGTTTCTTCCATCCAGCCTCTCGCGAGAGAGAGAGAGAGAGCGTCGGAGAGGACTTTGATCTTCGAAGTTAAACCAACACGTAACATCGTTTATAATGACGAAGATAAGATTTTTGTTTTTATTATATTTTAACAGCAGTTATTATATTAATAACGTTTATTAAACATGTAGATTGACATTTCATCACATTCCACAGTACTTCGGTATAAAAAAAACTATATAGGACGAAGACTTCCTTCCTTTCGCTCTTAGAAATACAAAGTTGAAAGGTAAACCGTACACACAATCGCCCGATCGCCCATTCGTACTCACAATCACACTCGCGCAAGCACACCCCCTATGATGCTATACATAAAATTTTCATTTCCTTATACACATATTTATTAGATCTCCGTAAACCCTTTGTTTTTTTTTTTTTTTTTTTTAAACGTATATATAATTTTTAGCGCGCGAAGTGTAGTAACACCGCTACATGAAGACAATATAACGAATTTTTTTTTCGATGAACATCTAATGAAAAGCGTAAAGAAGCATCAGAAACGTGCAGACTCCGATGACGAGGCCGAGTATAACGGAATCTCTCTTTTTACGCAGGTTTATCCTCTGCAGTAAACTACTTACTGCCGGAAACCGATTGGAAATGTCGTTGAATCGAGTTCGTATGCGTTTGAACGCCTGTCTCTGGGTCATCAGATGATCTCGGGTCTCTATCGCTATACTTATTTGGTCGTTGATCAATCGGTCAGAGCTGAAAGAAGCGGGTATGGGTTTTTTTGCAGAGCGCACGCGAGTGACTTACTTTTCCATCGATCAAAATTTTATACGCGCGCATCAAATATTGATTGTTAAAAATTAAAAGTAACTCACTTATGAATATGTTGGTTTTCCTTGAGATACATTTCGCGCCGATTCAATCCGCTCACGCTTTTATAATTGCTGTTAAACACAGACGACATATTTTGATTCAATTTCTTGTAATAGAATTATTATTTAAGTTTAAGAAACATGATAGAGATTGAGAAAGAAATATTACGCACTCTATTTCCTTGCGGACACTGCCCAGAAGATCCTCACGGTCTTTTCTGGCTGCGAAGTTATTTCTAATCTTGTTAAACTCTAATTTATAATCCTTCAAAATCTCCTTGTGACGTTGCATTGTGTGTAACATAGCTGCCCCATTTGGTTCCAACTGGCTCATCTTCTCATTTATAGAGAACAGCTGTTGTTGATTTGATTTTAATTAATTAAGTGAAATCGGTCAATTTTTGTTAGGTACACGCGCTGAGACGCAAGAAAATAAGAAGAGTTTACTTTGGTGAGTAACGTTTCTATCTCCGTTGCCATGTTCTCGAACACCTGTTCCTCGTCCAACAGAGGAACCTCATCTGGATTGACATGTCTGGCGCCTGTATTTATTCCCAGTTTACTGAACGCCACTAATTTTGCGTCAATCTCATTTTCCAGATGTCTCGCCTGCTTCCTCAGATCTGTAACCATCGTGTCAATCTCATGAGACTCTCCCAAATGCATATCTTATATATAAGACATAAACAAATGTGTGTTCTTTTTTTCTCTCTCCATATATACTCAAGATATCATCTTAAAGTGAAACAAACAAATTGCTTTTGCAAAATATCCTCGAGAAACAAGTGCAATACGCCTTGCAGAAAAAAAACAAACAAACAAAAACTAGTAACAGATGTAATTGGGAAAAGGAAACGTTTTTTTTTTTTTTTTTTTTATCGTCGCAACGTAATTGTTTCGTTAATCTGATACAACAAAGACATGTGACGCGTGACGTGTGCGTCGCCGAAAACGTTCTGAAAGTTAGTTTTAGACGCACACTTGCGCAAATAAATAATGAAAAACTTTAATATTTTATTTAGATCGTCATACCTTCCCAGTCGATTGCGCCCAACGAGCTGGCCATTTATTCGCAAATCGCGGAGAAACGCACGCCGTTTTTCCAGACCAACGTCAAACGTCACATAACACCTTCCCCGAGCAGCAGCGAGCACTCTCGTCGTCACCGGGACACGCTTCTGACGAATACACTTGTGCGCGATTTGTAATCAAACGATACAAACTTCTCCGAAACAAAAAAAAAAAAGTGACAGTTCTCAGCACCACCCGGACTGCGCTCGTCGAAAATGCGAACTAAACGCAATTACACGAGGATTTCTCGCAATTTTTATTTAAGACACATATATATATATATATATATATATGTAACAATAATACATATATAACAAATGTTGTGTACAAGTACAAGCGCGACATCTGTCACGCGAGCGGTACTGTTTAAAGAGATGGTGTGGTTCATAATATATCAAACAATGTTGACAGCATTCCTCAAGAAGCATTTTCACGTTATTTTATTCTATTTATAAGCAATACCGTATATAAGAAAAACAATTTAGGGAGGTTGTTCCATCCACGTATTTTAAATATCATCACAGCCAGCAAATCTGGATGAGACCAGGGAGAGGATGATCGCCGCCTCAGAACCGGTGGTAAAGTAGATACTGAAATATAGATGTTGAAAAAAGTTGTTAAAAAAAACAAAAATTATGTTCGTCGGATCAATTGTTGTTACGCGGATCACAGAGTGCGATCGCGACGAATGGGTGGCGAAAGCATCTCTGCTCTCTTGAACGACGCAAATTGGTTATGTTGTTAAATTGTTAGGTTAACGTTTGATGAAACTGTTTGTATTTTTTTTTTTTTTTTTTTTAAGGAATATGTACCAGGTGGTCGGGATATTATCTTCAATCATCCTGGATATTTAATAACCAGTCAACATTTGCAATCCGGCGCGTCAACACCTGGTGGAGAAAATATTCTGTTAAAAAGATTCAGCGAGGTAAACATTTCAGAAAAGTCTCTGGGAAAATTAGTAAGTTTTTTAAATAAATAAATAAATATAAATACAGTCTCAGAAAAATTATGTTGCATAATTTTAGATATTCTTTCGATAATACATGTGTGTTTGCGCATGTATTTGGATTTATTTTATATAATATTGTGTAATTATTTTATATTTTGTGTTGCATTTGTAGAAAGAGACGTGGAAAGTTCGCAGTAACAAGTTATGCGGAGAGGAAGAATTGTATTATTCCGGCCGAGTGGCCATACACAGTAAGGGCAATCAGGCTAGTCGGGTGTTGGAAGCAACCTATTCGTGCGAGACTGACATTAAGCACGCGCTCTGGTGTAAATTTCAAACTAGCATTCCCGATCATTTGATCAAGGGAGTTAAAGAACCCGAGGATGAACATTCGAACAGTCAGTCTATAGAGTGCGTTTGCTTGCTTGATTCGTACACTCTTAAGGTTTTCACTGAAAACGGTGAAGATTATGTTTCTACTTTGCAATTTCAGGTGAAGAAATGTAAAAATTATTATATACATAATATGTTTATACTTTGTATTTAAACGCAATATCTTATAAATCTCTTGACAACAGGTTTCCGCTGTTTGGCCGACAAAGTATGGAATTATACTTGAAAAGAGCGAAGTACCTGTTAGAGATTCGAGGTATAAATTCGCTTATTTTTTTATTCATCACCTTTATATATTTTATATTTTTGAATATATTTGTGTGCGCAAGTATCGTAATTAGCAGTTTTGTATTTTTAATCGCGTTAATTATAATAATTTACGTTTTTTATTTCCAGGTTTCTGTCGTTTGAAACCAGCAGACTATCATCTCAAAACTATAGTCATTTACCTGTGGCCTTTTCGCTAACACATCCATTAGACGAGATTTGTCCATTGCTCGTGAAGCATGGTAAAAAGTTTTTTTAATTGGATTTAAATAAAAGGAACAAATTAATCTTGAACACATTTTATACGCAATATTGATTCATTTATCTTTTTTTTTTTTTCAGGAGGTATATCGTATATGAACGAGTCAAGTCAGCGCATAATATTCACCAGTTCGGAGCCGTCCTTGGCAATGGTGTACGACACAAGAACTGGCTTGCATTCGGTCTACAAGATTCGCAAAGCGTTAGCCGAGGAATGTCAGTTGGTTTGCGGAAATAACGACACAATTCTCAGCTTCTTCAATCATTCAGCCACCATGTCGCCGTTAAATGCCGGCAGCAATCTATCCAATAAGGGACAACATCTAAGCCCGTTTCTTCTTGGTAAAACAAATTTTTTATTCGCGCGCGACGCAAGTCAACAAAAACTTACTTACGAGTATAATATGAATCGTTGCAGGAGTTCAGAATCTGCAGACGAGCAACACCGGATTGGGATTGTCCAATACCCCATTTGGATCGCGCACCACGTCTTACAGCAACACTTCCAGCGGACCGTCGCCCTCTCCGCAGCAACAACATTCGCGCTCGCACAGCTCGATGGCCACCATTTCTCGCTGTCAATCGCCGACGCATTCGGCCGCCGTGTCCCCACTTCTCGGAGCGTCGCAGAATTCGAATATTTATCACAGTAGATTGCAACAGATTGCTGTAACTAACACGAGTCAGACGCACAGTCCTTTTGTTAGTTTCAACAGTGTTCAATTGAAAGATATTCCGAACGGGAGCAAACCCTTGTATCCCGAGGTTTGCCTCGAACACGTGTGGACGGAAAACGCTGGCACGTCGAAGTAAGTAAAACGGCATTCGTTTGTATCGCAAGTTCAAACGACGCGTGTGCACTTCTCCCAAAATCCCATTCCAGATGTTCCCTATGCCTCCAACTCCTTTGGATCCCAAATAGAAAGTAAGTTTATAAAATATACCATGTTTAAGTATAAAAATTAATGCTCTCATTTCGTTTTTTTTTCTTTTTTTTAATCAATTTTTAGGGATATAGCTTTTGGTCGCGCGTCGAAAGTTTTTTTAACATCTGATCTCGTCGGACAGAGTTACTTGGGCTATTTGATCGCGAGTCGCTCGCAGCTGTTTCTGGTGAGATTAGAAAAGACAAATAAGCAGCAACAAGTTATTTTCGGAATGACGACAAGCATCGTGGCCAAAGATGCTGTCTGTTTGCCGGTATTGTAGTATTTCGATCAAATAAATTTATAAACAAATTTATATTTGTTGCTACATCCCAGTCAATTGATGTAACTTGATCGTTTCACGCAGATTGATCTCTTTTCAGGATTTGCACATGATAGCAACCGTAGACTTGTCAAACGGCATAACATTGTACACGGGAATGACGTGTGTGGGCAAGTTGCATATATCGGGTGTGCTTTCGAATTTCGGAACAAGCAATTACTTTTTGTCGAACAGCAACAACAAGCTTGCGTCTCCGTTTCCGAGACGAAGTTCGCTGATATCGCAGAACTGCGCTTCGCACGACATCAAATTCGAAGAAGCTCTGCATCTGTTGAGCCCCGTGAGCAATTGCGGACGTCCGCCAATGCTCTTGGAAAACTCGTTGTTGGAGACAAATTTCTTCACGCTTAAAGAAACTGTGGGCAATGAAATAACTGTAGAAAGCGGAAACAAACAGTATTTTCGCATAACGTTGCCTGTGTCCAGCACATCTCCTTTAGGTAAAAAGTTTGTTGAAATCAATCATTAAAGAGTTTTTTTTTCGAACGATGTTATTTGTGTATTTTTTTTTCTTTTTTTCTTTTTTTTTTTTTACAGTCACTAAATGTTTACACACGTTACGAAATGTACTTCAGAAGGATTTAGCGATGCAATTGTTAGTGAAGTGGTACGGCGCGAGAAACGCACCGGGTCCGCAAAACTTTTCGCCTACGCAAGAGTGGGATCTTTTTCTCGTGGTTCTGTTCACATTGTTAGGATACGACGTGGAAAAATTGCGCTCTATACGAAACAACGAGAAGGATCAATGCGCTGAACGCAACAGTCCAATGGTTGTGCCTAAGAAACAAAAAACAAACAATTGCGGATCAGCGGACGATTGGTTGTACCTGATGAATTCGAACGAGCACAAAACTTCACAAATTTGCAACACGTTGAAGAATCAGAAAAAATCGTCCGCCAACGCTCTCGACGAGATGATTCAGAATTCGATCGATGAATCGATTCCGAGCAACGTGATCGGCAAAATAAATACGCAATCCGTTTTGTTTCCGCATCTCCCGCTCGTCTTGTTTTCTCTTCATCTTCTCTACGAGGAGATCAAATTAAATAGCGTTATGTCGGAGAGTTTGCCGTTGCTCGGCCAACTGTTGTATCAGTTGAGTATAGATTTGAAGCTCGAGATGTACGTTCATCATTACTTTCTGGACTCGCCCTCGTTGTCGGAATTGAGAACGTCCAAGTCTCAGATCAGCGATGCGGATCTGCAGAAAATCACAATACCGTCTTACGTGCCTCACAAACCGCCTAATGTATTCGAAACGTTGGACAACATGTTGAACGGAATAGACGTCGCCACGTTCCCATATCTGAGTCACGTTAATCCGGGAACGAGAAACGTCATTTATCTGGCGGCAATGATAGCCAATGAGAATCGCGTAGACGTGATAGAAATGGAAAGGTACATCAAACTGGTCGTGCCACCCGGTAGCCGTATCGATCGTCAAGAAAGCGCGATCAATCTCGACAGAGAAATATTCAAAAAATTCGAGAAGCCAACAACGGAAAGGATAATACTGTCCTATCACGAAATGAGTAAGAATAAACGTTCGATTAATATATTCATATATATTGGGGAAAGGCGTATCTTTTTTTTTTTTTTTTTTTTTTTCTAAAATGTCGATTTACAGGTTTCTATAGTCGGTATCCAGTACCCTCTTAAACGTTTATCATTTTCAGATATGACAAAAGAGGATCTGGATGTGCTGCCGCCCGCGATATCTCTGATGATTAGAGACGTTATGCACAGGTGTAGAGAATGCCCGTCAACAAATTGGCCCACGCGAGCGTACGAGCTCATAGATCGTCAGGATCTGGCCGCTTTGGATAAGCATTCGAAACAATCGTCGAGATTGAAGCGTATCGACGGCGAAACGAAGGATTACGGAATAAAAGACGAGCAAGACGACGGCATGGAGTTTGACAACACGGTACGCGCGATTTTTTTTTTTTTCTGTTTAACCAGTTATTTGCGTAAATTTTTTTTTTTACACGTAATTCCATTTCATTTCACACACAGATATTAAAGTTGCGGTTCAGCAAGGATCACAGAGTCGCCGAAGTTCGGAAGTTGCTCAACTCCTCGAAACCGGTGAGAATAGCGATAGTTCAGGGATCGAACGTGAGCGATCACGATTTCATAGAGGAGCAGGAAAGACACCTTCAGATGTTGTGCACAAGAACGATGGCGCTACCCGTGGCCAGAGGCATGTTCACGCTTAGAACCTCCACCCCGATGATCACAGAACAATTGCCTATTCCACGATTGTGTTTAACAGGTTAATCAATTTTATCGGTCTTATATAAAAAAATTGGGCGATTACTTTTTTTGTTGTTTTTTTTTTTTTTTGTCTAGAATCAATGCTTTAATCAAACGATTTGCCTCGTGTAAATTTTGTTGTCAGGCAAGGCACCGCCGCGCGGAACTACCGTCGAGTTGACTCACATAGACGTTCCGCCGAACATGAATCTCTGGCCGTTGTTTCACAACGGCGTGGCCGCGGGTTTGTGCATTCATCCGGATGCCGTGAATATCGATTCGACATGGATCGTGTACAACAAACAGCAACAGGGTGAATACGGAGTGGAACATTCGGGATTTTTAATGGCTCTCGGTTTGAACGGACATCTGAAGAACTTGGCGCCTCTGAGCACGTACGAGTATCTGGCCGATTGTCACGAAGCCACGAGTGTGGGACTTCTGTTGGGTCTGTCGGCTACGCACCGTGGCACAATGAACGTTTCTATGACGAAATTGTTGTCGTTACACGTGGAAACGCTTCTGCCACCTACGAGCATCGAACTGAACGTCCAACAGAACGTTCAAGTGGCAGCGCTGATGGGAGTCGGGCTTGTTTATCAGAGAACCGCGCACAGACACATTTCGCACGCTCTTTTGTCTGAAATAGGTAACATAGACGTGATTTTACAAACGTTTATGAAGTTAAAAACCTACTTTTTTTTTTTTTTTAATCTGTGTTGCGATTCTTTGTGCTAACATAGATTTTTGTATTTTCAGGCAGACCTCCGGGACCCGAAATGAAGAATTGCGTGGATCGCGAATCTTATTCCTTAGCAGCGGGATTGGCGTTAGGTTTGGTCATTCTTGGTTCTGGTAGCGCAACAGATTTGCCTGTTAGCATACCCGACACTTTGCATTATTACATGGTTGGCGGTCACATAAGACCCTTTTCTGGAGCGCAGAAAGATAAATACAAATCTCCGAGGTATTAAAACAAATAGTTTGCGCAATTTATTAATTGTAGATGACGCAATTTTATAAAATTTTATATATGTCGTTTTTCATATATAGTTACCAAATACGCGAAGGTGATTCGATAAATATCGACGTAACGAGTCCCGGAGCGACGATAGCCTTGGGATTAATGTACTTCAATACCGGAAATCGCGCGGTAGCCGAATGGATGCAACCTCCCGATACGCAGTATCTCTTGGAGTTCGTAAGACCGGATTTTTTACTATTGAGAGTGCTCGCTAAATCGCTCATTCTCTGGGAGAACATCGAGCCAACCAAATCGTGGGTTTCTAGTCATGTGCCCGATATCGTATATAGATACAGATTGCAGAGACCTACGCCGGAAGTTATGCAACATGTGGATTTGGAAACTATCAAGTGAGCGTTCGCGTTTTCAATGCATTTTTATAATACTTTTGCGTTATTTACAGACGTGTGTGAGATTTGTTTACATGTGTGGATTTTACAGTCAGGCCTATTGCAATATCATTGCCGGCGCTTGCATGGCGTTGGGATTAAGATACGCGGGTACTGCCAATAAAAATGCGTTTAAGACTTTGTACAATTACACTCAGATGTTTCTAGAATTGTCGCACAAAACTGTAGCCGAATTAGCCGGCAAGTCGACTGTCGAAACCTGCATGAATGTCGTTCTGTTGTCCGCTGCGGTGGTAATGGCGGGTACTGGCAACTTGGACGTGAGTTGTTTTTTTTTCTTTTGGTTATTATTTATATTACGATATTATTTGTGAAGAGAATTGTACGAACAATTGTCGTGAAATATACAGATCATGAGGATATGCAGACACATTCGCACTCGCGTGGGACAGGCGAGCGGCGTTGTCACGTACGGATCCCATTTAGCGACGCACATGGCTCTCGGTCTTCTCTTTTTGGGCGGCGGAAGGTACACTCTTTCCAACAGCCCAAACGCAGTGGCAGCTCTCATAATTGCGCTCTTTCCCAAATTTCCAACGCACAGCAATGACAATAGGTTTGTAGATAATATACATTTATGTGTGTGTGTGTGTGCGAGATTATTTTATTTTTAAATAGAACAAAATTTTTGGAAAAAAATAAAAACTAAACGTAATTAACAATAACGCAGGTATCACTTACAAGCGTTACGTCACTTGTACGTGTTGGCAGCGGAACCGCGTATTATCTTACCGAAAGATATAGACACCGGTCATTATTGCTACGCGACAATACGCTTAACGTTTGAAAATGACAAGGAAGCCGAGGGCCAGGAGGTCGCTCTGGAAGCGCCCTGTTTATTGCCGCAATTAAATAGCTTGCGAAGAATCGAGTTGGATGACTCGAGATATTGGAAGATCGTGTTCGACAAGTATTACAACTGGCAACAGCTGGAGAATATGCTGGAGAAACACGAGTCTATAAGCATAAAACAAAGAGCCGGATGTTTGTCGTATCTGGAGGATCCTCATGTAAAAATACTAATGTTTATTCAATTTTTTTTTTTAATAAAAACCAAGAGAAAAATTTATCAATATTTGATATCGAATCTAAATTATCTAGTTTTTTTTTTTTTTTTTAACAAGATATGTATAAGGCCATACGAGCCATTCTCAAGATGTTTTGAGTAGAAACTTGTACGTGTATATATATACATACACATGTAACGAATTCAACTTGTAAATTTTTACAAGTGAGTGTTTTTTGAGTGTTTATTCGTTACATGTGTATGTATATATATACACGTACAAGTTTCTACTCAAAACATCTTGAGAATGGCTCGTATGGCCTTATACATATCATGTTGGTAATTTCACGAGCCTTAAGTCATAATTGTTTTTTTTTTTTTTATTTCAGGGTTTCAGAAGCTTGGTGGCTCAAACGTTAACAACGGAGAACGCGATCGCGTGGGGCGCTCGACCGGAATATGTTACGTCGTTTACAAATAATAAGACTGTGTTGAATGTAGTGACATATTTTTTAAAATGGTTTAAGAAAGATACGTCGTCAAACGGTACGTTCGACTCGGATTATTACACTTGGAATAAAAACAAAACAAAAAAAAAAAATCTTCAGACAATTTTAACAATTTACGTTTACGAACTTGCAGAAGTGCAATCCAAGATGCCGCAATCCGAACGATACTTGCTTCATATATTCGCGATAATTGTCTACGAATGCATCACGAAGGATAAAGTGAGTCTCGTGCCGTTGTGGTTGCGCATGTTTCAAAGTGTGCAAGTTATCGAGGAGCAACCGAACAGTTTCTCGATGTGGCAAATCAAACTTCTCTCGTCGCAAATTTCGAGAAAACTGAACGGCGCGTACGATCCAAATCCGTTACTCAGCGTGGACAGTATGCTCGCGATCAAACAGAAAACATCAGCCGTTTTGGATAAATGGGAGAATGGTATTTTATTAACGCGCGTATATATATATATATATACATATACGCATATACACACACGCGCATTGATTCGCAAACAGATTGTGCTTTACATACATTTGTTTTTTTTTTTCCATTTTGCAGATATAAAATGTTCACTTGTATCTTATTTTAATACCGGAATGGTGCCGGGAGCCGACACCGTATCTTTGGCTAGAATGTGCGCTTATTTTATTTTCTACGATATACCGTATCCAATTGACCAAAAAGCGATCTGTAAGTATCTCACGAGAGAGCACGTTTCTCATAAAAAAAAAAAAAAAAATGCCGTTTTTCTATCTCGAAAATTTTATATAATTCTTACCTTAATGTTTGTTTTTTTTCTCTTTTCAGCGAGTTCACTCGTGGCAACGCAAGACGTTGCAATGTATAAATTGTACAAGATTCTACAACCACTCTGAGAGAATAAAGCCTGTATAATTGTAATATATATATGTTAATCATATGAAGATTATAAAGAGAAATTTTTTTATTGATCTCTTGTCGGTTTGTTTTTTTTTTTGTTTTTTGTTTTTTTTAATATAAAACTTATGATTCGACGCATGAATCTAACGCTTTTAATTTATATAATTCTAGTATTGCACGTGGCGGGACGAGGAGAGTGACGTATAAAACAAGACTTGGTAACTTTTCACGCAGCGATGTCGGTTGTAAATTTACACTACGATTTATACAAGGGGGGGGGGGCAAGATTTTTTAACATAAATAAAAAAAATCGCAGCATCTCTTACATTTTTCTTTGTATTAAGGAATACTATACTAGCACATCAATCGTACACAGTACCGTTTCTCTTTTCCTTTTTTGTTTTGTTTTTTTTTTTTTATTATTGACAATACTTGTTCCAACTTTTAAAGCTTCTTCCACGATGTAAAACAACTATCTCTGCACGCACACACGCACACATTACAAAAAATTTGTGTTTGTTTTATTATAATACAAAATTTTAACAAAAAAGTTTTTATTATTACAAGACGCGTGTGTGCGTGTGTCAGGTAAACTGTCCGTTTCGTCTTCTGTAAAATCGTTCCTCGTGTATGATAGGGGTACCAGTTATGGTGTGTATCAGATTATCGATTACTTCTCCGACAAAAGTGTAACAATACAAACATCCGATCAAAATGCCTGCTAAATGCCCGACGAAAGACGCGTTCGGGACCAATAAGTGTATCAATATCAGTTCGGCCCAGACGGCCAGTTTGCTCGGCACTTGAAATCCACTGATATTATGTAACCTGTCGAGCTGTTCGCACAGCACAAGCAATTTTAAAGCGAACAACGATCCGGAAAACCCGATAGCGCAAGTTACCAGATATTGATAATCGCCCGTTAACTGCATTAACAGATAATTTAAACCTACGTACATAAAGCTACATCCAGTGGACAGTATAAAAAGTAAAAGTACAAAGTTTGTTGTTCCGTAGAGAGATTCTAAGTAAGAGCCCTTCAGAATAAAAGAGACCATGTTGTAGTACAAATGCATGTCGGACGCGTGCTCCAAATGCGAAAAGAAGAGAGACCGCCATTCTTTGTACTTGATTATCTTTATAGCCGATATACATACTTCTTCCGGATTCCATGGCACTTTTATATACCCCATGTACAACAAAGTCTACAAAAAAGTAAGTTGATATTTTACATATATTTTGCGACTTATGTGTATTTTATATATATTTTGCGACTTATGTGTATTTTATATATATTTTGCGACTTATGTGTATTCTAGAAATAGAGTGAAATAAAACTTTTTTTGCTACGGTGTGTATAATTTTAGATGCTCGTTTGCAGGAATTTTTAAATTTTTCTAACATTTACATATTACATGCAGTTTGTGCAGAGTGACAGATTGTTGTGAAATAAATTTTTTTAATTAATGGATAAAAATAAGGAGTTTATTAAATACACTGAGATGAGATTTACCTGTATTATGACTCCAATCAAAGTAGCAGGTGGTATTCTTTCAATCCCAAAATTTAGGGCTTGCATAAACAGCAAAAATATTCCATATTGCAGCCCTTGCTGCCGCCTTCGGTTAGGTATCATTGTAATATAAAATATACAAAGCGATGTTAAGTATTTGATGATGTTGCAGTTTGAAAAACTTCGAGAGAGAAGCTGAATACTATATACACACGTAATAGGTCCACGTGTGTATATACCTAAAAAAAAAACATCACATGAAGATGGGTATTAGTTGCGTCAGCCTGAAGGTAAACATTATTTAGCACAAATTAATGTTGTCGAATAAGTAATAAAACGTTCCAAAATCATATTCTTTAAAAAATTGCTAAGTATCATATATTGTCATTTTCTTCGACTAATTGTCAAAACGTGTACGCACCGACTGACAAAACCGACTGACAGATCAAAGAGTAACAACCAAACCGACGAATGTGCGAGTCAGTTCGCGCTGTCATGTACACATGTGAACGTATATACAAAACCTATGGTCAAGTTTATAAGCAGAATTCTACCAGATTTCACTATCAACATAGATGTCGTTGCATTGTTGAGTTGGAACGGAGTTTGGTTTGTGTTTCCATTTTGACTTCATTATCTGAGAATGTTCTGCTGATTCTGTACATCAATCATAATCTATATATGGTTTGTCACACAACTGATAAGAATTTAATAAATTTGTATGATATAATTGTTTTCTCATCAGATAAGATAGTCAATCATCGTTTTATAAAGATCGAGATCGAAAAGAATTTATCATTCCACACAATTGCCAAGGTGACACCTTGCAATCTCTGCGTACTTTGAAAGAAAGAACTAGAAAATAAAAAAAAATTTAAAAATTGTGTTTTCGTCGATAGATGTGCCAGTAGCAATAAATAAGAGACACGTACAACAAACATTTCAAGGTAAAAAAAAAAAAAACATCCTTTTGATATATAAATATTTAAAAATTTTTTACTTAATTAATAACATCCGTTAAATATAACATCTGTTAAATATAAAAAATAATTAAATGTATTTTTTTTTTTTCTACACACAAGATGGTAAAGAGGAACGGATTGTGGAAGTTGACGCAGCTTCGTGCGTTAATGAAGAATATTCAGGCTTTGATAATTAACGGAGAAGACGCGCACCAATCCGAGTATTCAACGGAGCACGATCAGAGACGATGTTTTATCAGTGGATTTCGTGGATCTTACGGGACGGTGATTGTTATGCAAGATGCGGCACTGTTGTGGACAGATGGGAGATATTACACACAAGCCATGTCCGAATTAGATCCACCAGAAGCTTGGACCTTGATGAGGGAAGGTTTATTAGACACGCCTACCATTCCCGCGTGGTTGGTTGCACATTTACCTCCAAAATCTATAGTCGGAGCTGATGCCAATTTGATAAGCTACACAGAATGGGCGCGATTGCATACCAATTTAACCGCCGCCGGCCACTGTCTGATTGCTCTTCCCGAAAACTTGGTGGACAAAGTGTGGGGCGATGAACAACCACCACCTACGGCTAACACAATTATAGCCCACCCTTTACAATATTCGGGCCAAACCGCTGGAGATAAAATAAAACTGTGTCGCGATGCCATGGAGGAAAATGGCGCGACAGTGCTTGTGATAACCGCGTTGGATGCGATCGCTTATCTGTTGAATTTGAGAGGCTCCGACATACCTTTCAATCCTGTCTTCTTCGCGTATGTTGTTCTCACATTAAAGAAAGTACATATTTTTGTAGACACAAGCAGACTTAGTCACGAGGCGGTGGAGCAATTGCAGAACGAGAATGTTAATCCGGTCTTTCACGCTTACGAAGAAATACACAGTTTCATGAAGGAACTCGCAAGTTCGTGTTCCGATCAGGATAAGATTTGGATCAGCAATAAATCGAGTTACGCTTTGCACGCCGATTGCGGAGAGGTAAAAAAAAATACGGATATCACACCTATCAGCGTTATGAAGTCGATAAAGAATAACGTCGAGATAGAAGGTATGAGAGCGTCGCACGTGAGAGATTCGGCGGCTCTGGTTAAGTACTTCGCTTGGTTGGAGGACAAAATAAAAAATACGAAGGAATGTATCACGGAAATATCGGGCGCAACGCGACTGGAGAAATTTAGACAGTAAGTCTTTCTCGGTTTGTAAGTTTTAATTTAACATTACAACGTGTGCGTAGCATAGATACCAAAAAAAAATCTTTTTTGTTTCTTTTTGTAAGGGAACAAGATCTTTTTGTTGGATTAAGTTTTTCCACTATATCGTCTGTTGGTCCTCACGGAGCGGTCATTCATTATTCACCTACCGCAGAGACTGATGTGCCTATTACAGATGAAGAACTTTATCTCTGTGATTCGGGCGCACAATACAAGGACGGCACGACGGACGTGACGAGAACTTTGCACTTCGGTAAACCCACGGATTTTGAACGTGAATGTTTTACCAGAGTGTTTAAGGGACAGTGTCGTCTTTCGACAATGATATTCCCAACGAAGACCAAAGGAAATTATCTCGACACGTTAGCGCGCGAAAGTTTGTGGAGCGTTGGGTGAGCAAGAAAAACTCCGATGTAATTTATTTTTTTTTTTTAATGCATTTTCTTGCGTTTTTTTTTTACACAGCCTGGATTACCTTCACGGTACCGGTCACGGAGTTGGATCCTACCTCAATGTGCACGAAGAGCCTATTGGTATCTCATGGAAGCCACATCCGGATGATCCGGGTTTACAACCTGGGATGTTTCTGTCGAATGGTACGTGACAAAATTACACAAGCAAGAAGTCGTCCAATCCAATAAACACTTGTGATTAAAAAAAAACATTAAACAATATATGTATCTTCGAAAAAAACAGAACCAGGATATTACGAAGATGGGAAATTCGGTATCAGATTGGAAAACATTGAGTTAGTAGTTACCAAGAAGACACCTCACAATCACAAAAATCGTGGTTTTCTGACCTTCGAAACTGTGACGCTTGTACCCATTCAAACAAGTCTGCTTGACGTATCGATGCTTACAGATAAGGAGGTGATGCATTTTTATATTTGCTCTTCCGATCTCATCTGAAGATTTGTGTCCATTTCTCACGTACAACATGTTTTATGTTACAGATCGAGTACCTAAATAATTATCACGCAAAATGTTTACAAGTTTTGAAACCTTTCTTGCAAGGACCGGACAATGCTCAAGCGCTCGAATGGCTTGAGAGGCAAACACTTCCCATTTCCCGTTAAATGTGTTTTTTTTTTTTTTTTTTTGGCAACGTTGATGTGATTAACGTTACGCGTTGAAGATTGCGATAGTAATTAAGTTCCAGTATTGTAAGAAAGTTTTGATCAATATCAACATTTTTCACAATATATTCCTTTGTCTATATATAAAAAAAAAAAAATTTTCAGAGAAACGTAACATAGCATTATATATATATAGAATTATATATATTATCACGTAATGTTTAACGTGTTAAGTGAATCAGGTTTCTTAAGCCCCTTGCACAATGGAAGGAATAGAGCGATAGCGATAGAAATAACACAGTTTTAGACACAGAATTCCAACTCGTCGGAAATTTTATCGCTATTGCTTATTCCGTTTTCTGATCTGCATTGATACGTGTGTATTTTTATATGTTAGATTCCGCTGTTCTTACCGGTATTTTATAAATGTAAACTCTTTAAAACTGGTGTTACTTCTATCGCTATCGCTATTCCGTCCATTGTGCAAGGGGCTTTATACAGATTGTTAATATACATATCTTTATAATATAATTATTTCAACAGCTTTTTGTTATTTATTAAACAACAAATTATTAATGTTTACTGTTTTAAATTAGGCGCGCCTGATGAACATGATATATATATATATATATATATATACAAAGAACTCTCGCGCGAGATCTGACAGTCGCCAAGCGCAAACCGTTCGGTGCCACCAGAGCGCTCAGGCGACGTATCTGATTGGTTAATTTTTCGTGTGTGTGCGGTCCGAGGTTTTGGTCAGTTAAAAAAGTTACTAGCACTCGGACCAATAGGATTGATCGATAACTACGTTCTCGTTTTTGCAAATTGAAACCTCATTGGAGACGCAAAACCGAACGAAGCTAATGATCGATCAATCGCGTTGGTCGGAAATAAACAAATTTCCGTGTTAAAGGAGCAAATTTCCCGACGCTTTCGATTTAAAGTACAAACCGGACGCGGTAAATTCCGCAAGAACTAAAAACTTCGTTCGAGAGGCTTTCAAACGAACTCTAGCACTCGTGGACGCAAGCCAGCACGAAATTTTTCCGCCAGCGTATTCGAGATGGCGCGTTGAACAAGGTAATTTATACGGTCGCGCTAAACTCTTGTCGAAATATACTCTCCAGCGAACTCGACACTAGACCTGGAATGTTCACTGATGTATTTATAAATGCCGCTCGCAATTGTCAAAAATTTTGATCAGCCAATTCGATTTGCTCTATGTACATGTGCACATTTTTTCACAAAACGTTTCTCTTTTTTTTTCTTTTTTTAATAAATTCTATCGTACGTATCGAACATTTATTAGCGATTTTGACACAGAACATAGTAGGTATGTATATATTTTTTTTAAATTAGTGTGTACACACACATATATTTTGCAATGAACTTCTCACGTGTGTGTATAAAAAAAGTATTTTTAAACATTAAACTTATATCAGCAGAAAAATATCGCACGTCGACAGATCAAAGGTTTGCAAAAATAACGCGCGAGATATATAAGAGATCTTTTATTTATAAATATAAACAAAATAGAGAAGTATCACATCGTGAGATCGCTATATATAAATTAATCGAGAGACAAGTTTATCGCAATAGCGCGTCAATTATACGTTTACTTGTTTATATTAATAAATATAAATTTACTCGGTCAATTTTCATAATTTTTTTACGCAAAATTTTTAATACAGATAAAGGTTCTCGCTTAACATTTTGATTCGTATATTTTATTTTGTACATTTGTATGCGTGCATAATAATATTAGTTCGGTAAATCAGTAGATACATGCGAAGAGCGCAGTGGGGCAAACGGAGAAAAATTGTCGAATAAAATATTTGGAAAATGTTTTAACGCGCGAGATATGTAAGAGATCTTTTATTTATAAATATAAACAAAATAGAGAAGCATCACATCGCGAGATCGCTATATATAAATTAATCGGGAGACAAGTTTATCGCAATGGCGCGTCAATTATTTAAAATATTTTAAATAAAATAATTATTTCAATTATTTAAAATATTTTAAATAATTAATATTCTTCTCAAAACGTAACACGCTATTGAAACTTTTGTCCGAGAGGGTCTTTATAACGTTTTTATTGGCGCGTTTATTTTTCAATGACGAAACCAAAAACAGTGCGAAGAAAAAATTCGATAAGTAGTTTCCCCCGTCGAATTTTTCCCAACAAAATGCGCTTTATAATTATTTAGTCACTACGCTGGAAAAAAAAAAAGAAAAAAAAAAAGAATCGAAAAACAAAGAGAACAGATATCGTTGCTAAACAGTAGAAATTGCATTAAACAAGTCTTATTATGTTAAACAAGCCTCTCGCGTCATTCTATAAATATTGCAAACGACGTGTAAACTCGCGCGTCAATCGATTGCCAAGAGAGATGGAGAGCTTGCAATGCGAGAGCTTCGTCACCACATCGTCGTCGCTTGCTCGCGAACGACGAGTGCTATCGTTCGTTAACAATAACCCGCGGTGCACATAAATTCCGAAAATAACGTCGGCAAAGTTGGGCGTCACCGCGCCCAACTGAAAAAAAATCGCGCGATCGTGAGAGAAAATTAAGAAAAAAAAACAAAAAACTCCAACAATCAAAAAATCTCAATTTCTCAAGTGACGTAAAGTGTCGCACCTTTTTTCTAGCCCCTCTAACGCAATTTGTCATGTCAAAAACACATGTCGAACCACGCACGCGAATAATGCGTGTAATCGCGAGAGACTCTCATCAAGTTTCAGCGCATGGCGGCGGCGGCGACGGCGGATCGAAAGGTGAACCGCGCACAGTTTTCATCGTATGTCAAGTTCGCCGTCTATGTATAGACCTTGCTCCTGCGTATCCCAATGTCAGGGAAAACGCCGGGGGATGAGAGAAAGAGAGAGAGAGATAGAGAGAGGGAAAGGGAGAGGAAAGGAGAGCGGACGGGAGTTGTGCAAGAGCAGAGTTTCCAGGACGCTCTCCCCTCAGTGTCATCCCCTGACGGTCAAGGGCAGTGGCGTCGCCGCGTGACGTCACGCGACGCTGCAGTGACGCAACTAGTCACCAAGGGCAACCCGCGCGGTTATGGTCGCTTGGCAACCCCTTTTCGCCCCCGTCTCCTCGCACCCTCCCCCGCCCTTACATCTTCGCTTCATATCGCGCGCAGACCAAGCCGCTCTCTCTCTCTCTCCGTTTCTCTTCTCTCCCTTTCCCTCTCTCTCTCTCTCTCCTTCTCTCTCTATCGGCCGGTGCACGTGCCGTTGCTCAATGAACTCGATCCCCCTCCCCCGCATCTCCACGTAGCTCCATCGTCGCTACTCTTCCATTCTCCTCCCGGTGACGTGACCCTAACCCCTGGCAGGGCCTTTCGCGGATGCTGCGAGAGACGCGGCGGATTAACGAAGTCGCGCGCCCCGCGATTTTTCACGTTTAAAATCGCACACACAATCTCGCGAAAAACGCTGTAATTCTGAAAAATGTCGCGGATAAGACAGAATATCGCGCGGATGTGTGTTATTAAAATCTCTGACGCCTCTCATAAATTATTATTTCCCCAAAGAGATGCGTGGGAATGTGTGTATGTAAAATGTCGGGTGTAACGCGTTATCATTATTATTATTATTATTCAACACGAATATATAATTGAAAGAAACCTTTTCGAAGAGTCGGTGCATCGATGGGATTCCGAATGAAAGCGAAACACATGTGTCGCTTATCGCTACTAATGAATAGTTCTAATGAGTTCGCGTATACGTCGAAAGAAAAAAATATGTATGACTTATTACCGTGTAAAAATAGCAACGTTTTAATCGGACGAGCGCGCCATTTGATAAAACGCGCATCTCGACGAGTTTGAAAAAAATTATAAGAGATTAAAAAGAAAAAAAGAGCGCTACTTTCGCAATGTATTCAATAAGAGTATGAGAAGAATCGAATCTCTTCTCTTCGCGTGTTTCTTTATATATATATATATATATTTTCTCTCGAGCGCTTATCTCTTCTCTCTTCTTGAGACGATTTCTCTGTCGCGCTACTCGCGTACGCGACTCTCGAGTTTACACGTACGTGTAAACTCGAGATATACAAAATAATAACGGTAAAAAATAAAACAAAACGCCGCGGCTGTAAATGTTTCGTAATCTGTAACAGTTTTTAATTAATTAATTAAATACATAAGTTCGGCAAAAAAGTTTCTCGACAAGTAAGAAACTTTTTCGTGCGACCTTATGTGTATTAATTAATTAATTAAAACCGCGCGCACATATGTTGTAAAATTATTGAAAAAAAAGAGAGATTTATTGCAAAAGAACAACGAGGAAAAAAAATAAGATCACTAGTCGAAAGAGGGTGGTTGGAGAGGACTCAAAAAGCATCAAGATAAAAACTCGGAGGGGGGGAGCGGGAGAAGAAGAGGAAGAGAGACGCGCGATCTGTTGTGGAAAAGGAACGAGAAGAACGAGAGAAAGACAAAACGTAAGAGAGCGAGAAAAGAAAAAGAAGAAGAAGAAGAAGTCCTGGCAGGGATTTCTCGCAGTGAGATGGAGAGAAGGTATCGCGAAGTGCAGAGAGACCTCATCTCGCTCTCGGTCCTATTTATAGACGTGCTCTCAGCTTCACTCGTGCCCACTGGCTTGCGCGCACTGTCTTTCTTATATAGGTGCCTGGGTACACCTATATATAGTGATTATATTGTGCGTTTCTCTCTCCTCTTCTACGCGGTGTGGTGCAAGCCGCCGCGAGAGCTGGCCAAAAGTGTGCAAAATATTCGAGAGATCGATAGCACGGAAAACCCAAACTGGAACTCTTCTTCGAATCGAGTTTTGCGCGAGAGACAAACGAAATTATATTGCGTAATTTTTTCACATTTTTCGAGAACTTTCAGAAACGAATTTCGTTACACAGATGGATATATCGCGCGTATATATATGTGAACTCTTTCAAAAAAAAAAATTTAATATAATTAGTTTACTTTAATTGAATAAAAATTCCTTAAATTAAATTCTTGCTTTCCTCTCTCTAAAAAAAAAAAAAAAAAAAAACCGTCGGACTTAGCAGAGCAAGGGGAAATAAAAAAAAAAAGATATTCATATGCAATTTTTTTTCGTGACAGGGAAATTGTGGAAATAATGACACGGCTTCTCTCGAGTCAATTGTTAATTGTATTTCTGTTAATAATTGTTGCAAGATCATTTACCTGCTTTTCGCAAAGAGAAACATATGCGGGAGCGATGATGACAACACACGAATATACAGGTAGTCGGGGATCTCTTTTGTGTTATGTGCATCGCACTCCGGGGAGAGTGCCGTAATATGTATAATAATTACATGTGTAATTTATCTAGCAATAGGGATAATACTATTTGTAAAAAAAGTATTTTCTCTCTCTCTCTCTCTCTCTCTCTCTCTCTCTCTCTCTCTCTCTCTCGCTTTCGGGGATTGCGCTTGCGATACTTTGCGTTTACAAATTTATACATGGATCGGTATAGTTGCGGTATATCATCGCATACGCATACGCCCATAATTGTGATGTGTAGGTATTTCTATCTTTCTTCCTTTCTTTCTTTCGTTCTTTCTCTCTCTCTCTCTCTCTCTTTCTCTGTAATAGCGTGTTGTGTACACATTTTTATCTGTGTGTCTGTGTGTGTGTATGTGTGTATACGTATGAGACTTCACATTTTTTTTTTTTTTCTGTAACTTGTATATAAGCGTAGATACAATAAATCACGTCATCATTTTTTGTCGCTTTTGCATAACGCATTGCATTGCACGCCATAGAATATAATCATTCCGATAATAAAAATAATTATTTAACTTTAACAATATATATTCATTTGATATATAGTCATTTTGTTAATAAATAGAGCAACATATACATAACATTAACAATCGCTAAATACACGTACGGGGGGCGGAGGGGGGAGGGGGAGGATAGTAATGCTCAATGAAGTAGAGAAAAAGTAGGCAAGAGAACGACGTTAGATTTTACATACATATACAGCAATTTTTTATATATATATTTATATATATATAATAAGTTATATACATATGTACATGAAATATATAATTTCTCTCAACAACGATAATCACGTAAAATTTTTAAATTACAATTACACGTGGAATTTCTGATTTCTTTTTGTTTTTTTTTTTGTTTTTTTTTTTTTTTGTTTTTATACAAGTAATGTGCGGAAAGGGGAGGCAAGTCAATGACTGAGAAATGGAAGTATTTGACGGAGAAGACAGCCGAGATTTAGCGTGTTCGGAGCACGAAGAAACGTGACGACGGAAACGCAGGGTTTTTAAATTATTCAAGAACAATAGAAGAGAGAAGAAAAAAAAAGCGATCGCGCTATACACTACTAACATATCGAAGTTTTTTTTCTTTTTTTTTTTTTTCGATATCTCGGATGCAAAAACTGTGTAAAAAAAAAAAAAACATTTATATTATTTAAAACAATTTAAAAAAACGGAAACAAACGACGTTACTACCCCTATAGCAGGATCAAAACACTGAGTTCGCGCGCGAAAAAGTTCAACAATTATATATTCGTCGCAATGGAAAGGAGGAACTCTTTTTCTCATCACCTCTACGCATTGTCTAACGCAAACACGGGTAAAGTTGTCTCTTTTCAAAAATAAATACTCTTTTTTTTTTCTCTTTTTTTTTTATCATGTTGAACGTTCTCGAGAATTCGGTAGTTGAATTGTAGTTTATGTACAAATACACTTAAAAAAATATCTCTTTCCGGTGAAACCCTGTCAACAATCTTTTACATCTTTTTCGCAAAACGCGAGACGAGATAACTTGCCTACAAGAAAATAAAGCGGCATAGCTTCTCTCACGTTCGGTTTTTTTGCAAACTGCGTGGAGTACTTTTTTGAGTTGTGCTCTCTCGTGCGGATGGAACGAGTAAAAAAAAAAAAAAAAAAGTACCAATTTCTTGGAACAAACTTCTGTCGTTTCTTTTGAAACAAAAATAAGAGATATGTAAGTTCTTTTTTTTTCTTTATACTTTTATATATATATATATATATATATACTTTTGATAACAATAATTATTTGTCTCTCGTTGAGAAAAAAAAATAACAAAATAAATCGCGATTTGTTTCAAATGCCACCAAAATGTTCGGAGAACGCAGGTACTTTTTTTATCTTGTGTGTGTTTGTAAAATATTGAGCTCACACGCTTTGCATATATTGACCCAGAGAGAGAGTCAATATATTAATACTTTTTTAACTTTAACACTTTTCGCGAGTCAATTACATTCTCACACACACACAGTCGTTCGCATGCGATGAGTTTGCGTCGTTCCTTTTCTCACGCACGTTTACCCCCCTCCCCCATCTCTCTCTCTCTTTCTTTCTTTCTCTCGCCACTCATCTCTCCCTCTTTCCATATATCTTTCGCGCTTCGCTCTACGATTCCCGGAAGCTGCGGGATAGTATCGATCTCGTGTTCCAGAATTGCACGAAATTGCAGTCGCGACGCTCGCGCATCGGCGGGGCGACCATCCGAATATACACCACACATTTACGCGATTATTTATTATTTGCCTCTCTCGCGAGAATTTCATTACACCTCTTGAATACAAGCTAAGACACGAAGTACATGTAAAGCGGAATAATAATAACAATGATGTGTTTTGTCATATCTTTTTTTTTTCTTTTTTTTCTTAACAACGAGGTTGCACGTGCGCGAATGATTAACTTCACTAATCGCGATTTCAAAACGGGGGGGGGGGTCTCCCTCCCTCAATGTAATTATTATTAAATTCTTCCAGCGAATTCTCTAAAGTAACTTTTTCAACCATCGGATCTCTGGGAGAAACACAATTACAGCGAGAGAACATAATTGATAATTCTCGTACGTACATTTTTTTTCCCGACAACATGCTCGAAAATACAACAAATGAAGTTAAACATTCTTTCGCGAACAATAAAAATACATATGCAACGCTTAAATTTTCTTTCTTTGATTTACGATAATTTGAAAAATGAGCAAGTACTTTTTTTTTTTTTTTTTTTTTNTTTTTTTTTTTTTTTTTTTTTTATACTTTCACACAATTCGTGAATATACAATATACCCGAAATTCCGAAAAGCTCATTTTTTTTTTTTTTTTTTTTTTTTGCGCTGCATATAACACGCAGTGTTATTTCGTATCCAGCTATGTATTAAGATAGTATAAACGGCTGATTGACCGACGATACAGATGACGGATCAGTCGGTGACGGTGAGATTTGACCGTCTGAAGGTCTCCGCGATTTCTTTTCATCATCGGTCATCAAAAAAGAAGAATGAGGAATGAAATACAAGGACGAGGGATGAAAGCGGCTGCCGAGAAGAGAAGGAGGAGAGTAAGAGAGAGAGGAAGGAAACGGGGAGGGAATCGCGAATGAGATTGGGGAGTAGAGCACCAAAAAGGGAGGAAAGGGGAGACATACAGATCACAATTTGTCAATAACGTGACAAACGCAATGAGATCTCAAAGAGGAGATTCCTCAGCATCGTTGTCGTCGTTTGGAATTCATTCATTGATTGCAGGGTGACGACGCGTGGCTCTGCGGATGACTCCGCGGATTGGCGTGGGCCGCCTCGCGCTTCAACCGCTGCTTGAGATGCACTTTCGCGTGGCGCTTCTTCTCGTCGCTCCTGGCGAACTTGCGTCCGCACTGATCACAGCAGAACGGTTTCTCACCGGTGTGCGTGCGCACGTGGGTAGTCAGATGATCGCTCCGCGAGAACGAGCGCATGCATATGCGACACTGGAACGGTTTCTGTCCGGTGTGGATGCGAATGTGACGGGTGAGTTCGTCGCTGCGGGAGAATCGCCGATCACAACCATCGACCGGACAAGCGTACGGCCGTTCGTGAACAGGCGTTTTGCTCGGTCGATTTGGATACTTTCGCGGTTTCACGGGCACCAATCTGAGAGGTATCGTGCTCTGCTGATAAACCTGCGAGAGTATCTCGTGACCCTTCGAAGTGCTCGGATTGTATTCGGCTAACTGGACACCCGTGTTGCTCGCGGTTGGCGGAGGTTGTTGTTGTTGTTGTTGCTGCTGAGTCTGCGTCTGGCTTGGTTGCGGCTGCTGCACATTGGGAGTGTAACCGGACGTGCCAGTTGGCTCCTGCTTCAACGTCGTTTCCTGATGATGAGCGTGCGAGTGATGGTGGGAGAGGAGACCGGGATCGTAAGCGTCCTCGTGCGCCGTCAGCCAAGTCGGGGTGGTGGTTGGCGTGTCGTGATAACCAGGCGGCGGGGGCGGCTTCGAATCGACCTGCAGCAATTCGACGGTCTCGCCGCTGTACGCGGCCGAGTGTAGATTGGGGTGAAGGAACGGCTGACCCGTCAATGTTAAGGTCGGCGAGGGTAAGGGAGCCCACAGTTCCTGGCTCGCCGCCGGTTGCTGTTGCTGTTGCTGCTGCTGCTGCTGCTCGCTCTGAAGATTGTTGAGGGGCGAGGACTGCGTGCAGGTCGTGGTAAATACGCCGCGATAAGTCAACGTTGGCACGTTGCAAATGTTCACGCTGGTCGTAGGCACGCTGGACGTGGAATGCGGTGACGAGTACAATATTACACCACCTTGCAACACATTGCAGCGATCCGCCTCGTCCTGCGTTTGATGGTGACGTGACGGGGGACTGCTCGACGAAGGTGCGTTCGAGGTGTTCCGAGTGTCTTGATGATGATGATGATGTCGATGATCTCTGCCGGACGCGTTGTCGTCCTCCTCCGCGGTCGCCTCTTCCAGAGAGAGATCCTCGCCCGCCAGGCTGCCTGCGAAGCATCGATAAAATCGTCACTTAGTCTCTCGATTTGTCGAACGTATGTATAAATCGCGTGTTCGCGTCAACGCGCGTTAATTGCTCTATATATATATATGTGACGACAGACGCGCGTATTCCGTTCCGAGAGAGCCAACAGGAAGAACCGCGCGATACGGGGGTGACTTTATCTAGCAACGGCTCTATCTGTTGTCTGCATCCTGCCGCTTTATTGTTACTTCCTCTCACCGCGCTAAATAACCACAACTTTACACGCTTTATGAGAAAGCGCGTTCGCAGATGTGACAAAACAATTGCGGCGCATTTATTAATTATAAAAAAAAAAAGAAAAAAATTTCGTCTCACTTTGAGATCATTTTTTGTTTCGACAATTTGATGTTGTTTTTTTTGTTTACCAATCACATACACACTCTCTTTTACATATTGGGAGAAACGAAAAAAAAAAACAAAAAACGACGTGCATCATAAACCATATTATGAGGAAACGTATTTCCGCGTAATATTCTGTGAAGGTGTGCGATTACGGTACTGCGAGGGAGAGTGACGGTGGTGGGGGTCGCGCTGGAAGCATGAATGAAACTGACCGCCGAGGGTGGTGGCGGTGGCGAAGGGGAAGGAGTGAGACGGGGTTGGTGCAGGGGGTTGTGAAGAGGAGGGTGCCTCTCTGAATGTCGGGGTCGTTGAGTATTGATCCGCGAGCAAGAGGCGGACAGACCTTCAATATTACGTGTTTTTCGCGAACGTGTATATAATAAACGTCACTGGCATCTTGCGAAACGCCGTCCGCGGCGACCACCACCGCCGTCGCGCACCGTACTTTTGTACAATCCCCGCAAGGGAATGCTTACTCGGGGGAATTTGGACGCCTAAAATTTTCCCGCGGACGATACGACTTCGTAGGACCAGGCGTCAGAAAAGACGAAGAGTTCGCCAAGCGTAATATCGAAAGCGAAAGGTCGATGAAAGCGAAATAGTACGAAATTCAAGAACGTTGTTGCATTTTCGTCTCATGACGTCCTGATAACATCCTTGCCCACGGGAGATATATATAGTCGAATCCTCTCCCCTCCCCCTCCCACCCCCGAGAACCAGCGTTGTTCTCTTGTTACAAACATTGATACAAGGCAAAAAAAAACCATAAATCGCAGATCGACCAACCAAGCAACAGAATTTCAATATACAGAAAAATAACAAAGTTCGTGTGTGTGCGAAACAAATTTTTCTCCAAATGACATTTTTTCTCGCGCGCGTCTGAAAGAGATTTTAAACTAATGTAGATATACCTGAGATCGGTGGCGGTTCGACAAGCGCAGACGGACCGAAGAAAGACGGCAGATCGCTGCTGGTGGTGACCGGTGTGTTTAAATCACCCGGTTTGTCCTTATCATTGGAATCGTGAATGTCGTTTCGGCAATTTCTGATGCATCCCTTGTCCTCGTCCTCGTTCTGCCTGTGTCTCTTGTCGTCCGCGGCATCGGCAGACGGCGAGGACGCTTCGGTATGCAAGTGATGCTGACGATGATGATCGTCCAATCGATGATGGTGGTTGTGACGGCCGTGGTTGTGGCCCAGAGAATCGATCGGCGTTATTTGTAACTGCGTGTGCAACGGCACGCACGAGGACAGGGAAAGCGTCGGGACCGCGGTTTTGCTGCTGCAGCTTGTTGACGAATTGGTGCAGATCGCGTTAACCGGCGTTCCGCCGCCGCCTACGCCGCCGCTGCCGGTTCCGCAAGTTACGGAATTTGACGACGATGACGCCGCGTTATACGGTAAGCACGCGTCGAAGCTTAGCTGTACCGTCTGTACCGTCTGCATAAACGTTGCGTGATGATGATGACCGAGCGGCGGCGAGGATAGCAGAAACGGACTGGTGGCTGCGGCGTGCGGTTGCGAGCCGACCACCTCGATGCCGTCCATCGTCATCCTCTGGAGCGGGTCGCCTTCCTGGGCGACGGCAGTATCCTCGGTGCCGCACTGCGTGTCCTCGCCTGCGGTTGTATCGTTCAACGTAATTAGTATGGTTAGAATGGTTGTGTTCCCTCGATCACTTCCAATCTCACAAACAAGCCGCCTCTCTCTCTCTCTCTCTCTCTCTCTCCTATTTCTCCCTTGATGTAAATATAGGCGTGTTAAAGTGCCCGAGTACCACTATAATAATGCGTTAATGTTCCGCGATCTGCATCGAAAAGGATGATAGTCCCCCGAGTTGATCGGTAGTACAGCGCGTGTGTGTCTGTGATCTTTTTGTTTTCTCTTTCTCTCTCTCTCTCTCTCTCTCGATTCCCTTGCGCTATAGCAGTAGGTATTAGTTAGCGATTAAGTATGCGGGGCGCGACCGCGCGATGTTTTCCTCTCTGTGTTTTCTTGCTCTCGATCGCGCGCCTTCGCGATTAAAAAACACAACTCGGGAATAGAGTTGTTATCCCGTGAACGCGCGGATTGATTGATTGATTTCGACGGGAAAAGGACACGAGCGCGTTCTCTCTTTTCCCGCCTTTTTTTTTTTTTTTGTTTTTTTTTTTTACTTCGACAGATGCCACCGGCCGCAGCAACCGGCAACACCAAGTCGCAGAACGGACCACCACCAACCACTAATGATCACCATCACCGTTTTTACCACCACCACCACCACCACGAGTGTGTGTCAGGGAAGGTTTTTTTTACGTAGAGCGCGCGTAGGAATTGCCGTGCGGCGTCGCGTACAACATACGCATATAGGATTATATTTCGCCAACCGGTCGGTTCGGTCAAGTACCTGGTACCACCGTCGTTTCCTCGTGAACGAGGAGGAGAGGATCTTACAAAACGACGACACAAGTTCGGTCAATCGTGTGTGGGACCGGTGCGTGTGCGTATTTCACCCGGGTGTGCGTGTGTGTGTGTGTGCGTGTGTGTATGCGCGCCACTTTGATCAGAGAGAATCAAACTCCTCTTTTTCACCTTCCGACGGTTTTACGCGGAGAGACACGCGCGCGCACGCGAGAGAGAGAGAGTTCCCCGTTGTGGAGATACCGCGCGTCGGAAAGCGCGGAGGCGAAGTTTCGTCGTCGCGCGGCGAGAGATGTGTCCGTCCGGCCGCCGCCGCCGTCGTTTGCCGCCGCGCCAGGGTCCACGCGTGCTCCGAATCTCTGCGCGAGTGAGAGCAAACACACAGTGTGTATGATACGAGAGCGTGGTGTGCGTAGGCGCGCGAGCGTGGAGCGCGCGCGCGCGCGCGCTGTAGCCGCGCGCGTTTTGTGTTGCGTCGGCAACTCTTTTCTCTTCTCCCTTCCTTCTCTCGCGTCTTTTCTCTCTCTCTCTCTCTCTTTATCTATCCATTTATTCTCCCTTCTTCTCCCCGTCTTTCTCCTCTTATCTCTTTCTCTCTCGTTCTCCTCCCTTTTTCTCGCGATTTGTATCTCTCTCTCTCTCTCTCTCTCTCTTTCTGTCTTTAAACGCGGCTTTCCTTCGTTAAAGGTGTGCGCGCACTCGGGCCTGAGAATGTATTGGCTCGTGCACGGTGATTGTTAAAGGACGCGCGATGCGTGGGGGTCGCGCACGAACTGAGCCGAGCGACGGCGCGCCCCGTAGTTTTATGAATGGGCCGCCGAGACTGTCCCATATTTGGAAGCGGCGAGTCGACCGCCAGCCAATCCCCGCCCGCGCGGCGAACCTCTGCTACGCACGCGTGTGTGCGCGGCCAATACGTCTTCATACGTATTGCGGGGTATTTATACACGCCAGCGTGCATATATACGTATGGATTTAAATATATGTGCGTGCACACACACACATGTGTCCAAATACACGTAAATACAGATACTCTACCGAGGATACGCATGTATTTTACGTATGTGCGTGATACACGCATCGACGTAACATACATACATGTGTATAACACATACAGAGACACAATCTCAACGATCTCTCTCTCTCTTTCTCTCTCTCTCTGTCTCTCTGCTTCTCGCGCCGACGTAGTTGCCAGCTTACGAACATCCCCTCCAGTCGCTCTTCGCGCGCCGCCACCTTCCCCTATCCTCCCTCCACGCAATAGCGTATCCCACTACAGAGATCTTCCTCCTCCTCCTCCTCCTCCTCCTTCTTCTTCTTCTCCTCCATCATCTCCTTCTCCTCAGCTCCTCAACCCCGTTCACCGATGATGACGTAGAGCTTCGTGACGTAGCTCGAGGCGCGCGACTGTTGTCCCCCACGAGATACTTTCGAGAACGCGCGCGAGCACGCGACGACGACGACGACGACGACGACGACGACGACGACAACGTCGACCACGACGACGACGGGCAACAGAAAAAGATGGAGGAAAAAATTGTAAGTGAGCGAAAAAGAAAACAGAGAGAACGCGATCGGGCGACATTGTTGCGCGGCGATTGTCGCCGGCGGCTGTCAAACCCGATCATGTTGTCTTTTGCAGCAACAAGAATGTTTGATTAATGAGAGAGAGAGAGGAGAAAAGTCGTATAGCGACTTATTTTTGTTTGTTTTTTTTTTTTTTTTT